TCAGCAGTTCGAAACTACCAGTTGTTCCAAGGGAGAAAGATGAGGCTTTCTGCTCCTGTAAAGATTTACAGCCTTGGAAACCCTGTACAGGGTCACTATGAGTTGGAACCGACTCCACGGCACATAACAACAACTAAGAATCTTATCTATAGATCTAGTAATTTTACTTAAGGCTGAGTCTTTTATAAACAGAATGGTGTACTCACTGAATGCTCACAAGCAACCCTGTGGTAGCAGGAGCCCAGGTCTCACAAAGATTGGAGAATGTGCCCAAGTTTACAAATTCCACTGTAAAGTGCTGACTGTGGAGTGTTTTCAAAGTTGCAGGTAACTCAATTATAAATTACCTATTCTTGTCAACAAACCAAAGGATGGTTTAATAGTTATTCATAGCAAATTGCAGAGCCAACGTCACTAATTCACTCTAAAACTTAGGTCTACTACTACCTACGTTCACTTCTTGGTCTGATATATCCTGGTAGCGGTCTTGCTAAAAACCAACAATAACTCATCAGTCCTAGACCAATATTTGAGGAACAAACTTTGCTTTCATTAAACTTTTATGTGGCTCAAGGCTTTTCCTTTGACAGTCAATAAAATTTAAACTATACTTGAGAATATCACTCACCCCCATTCCCATTTTTAAATAATGAAGTACTTTAAGAGTCACCTACCAGAGCATTCATGATCTATGATGACAGGAATTAGTGCAAAACACTTCCCATAAATAGCTAATGCTTATTAAAAAAGAATATTAAGAAAAAATTTGATGATGGGCCTGACTGAGCTGGCTGGCTGGTCAGGAGGGCCTTCCTCCCTTGCTGTAGGTCCCTTCTAAGGTTACTAAGTTCATTGGAAACAGCATGCTGGTTTTCCCAGAGCAGCTCCCATCTGCAGAAGACACTGCTTACTAGGTTTTCAGGGGTAGTCTATGCTGAGATGCCTACCTAATTTGTCAAGTGCCAGATGCATAAACTTGGGCACATTCTCCCATCTCGGTGGGATATGGGCTTCTGTTACCAGAGGGCTGTTTGTGAGCATTTAATGAGCATAGCATGAAAGCATCTGGCACAATTCTTTGTTACATAGCCATTATCAAGTTGATTCTGACTCATAGTGACCATTATTGGACAGGCAGAACTGGGTTTCCAAGGCTGTAAACCTTTATGTAAACCAACTGCTTATTTTCTCTTGCAAAGTAGCTGGTGGGTTTGAACTGCTGACCTTTTGTTAGCAGCTGAAAGCGTCAATCACTGTGCCAGCCCACAGTGCCACCAGGGCTCCTCTTTGGAACACAGCTACTACTACTACCACTTACCCTACTAATAAAGGCAGGCCCCTGGTGTGGTGCTATAGGTCAAGCACTTGACCGCAAGGTTGGTTTGAACCAAAACGCTGGCAGTTCAAACTCACCAGCTGTTCCTTGGAAACCCTATACAAGGTCACTGTGGATCAGAATTGACTTAATGACACTTAACAACAGCAACATATAAAGTTCTAGAAATCTCTGAGGACTATAAAAACACCATAGTTCTGTTTTTATAATTTCTAGAGAAATAAATGACCCTGTAACAGAGTTCTACTAAGAAGGAACTTATAAAGATTGTATTATTAATATGGAACCATAACTCTGATAACCTGGATATTTTTTCTCTTTGGAGAACAATGCATTTTAATAAATCACCTGCTGTCAACCCCCCCACCCCCAAACCAGACTCACTGCCATCATGTTGATTTCAACTCCTAGCAATCCTATAGGGCAAAGTAGAACTGCTCTGTAGGGTTTCTGAGACTAAATCTTTACCAGAGCAGGCTGACTGGTTGGATAAATACTGGTATTACCCTGGAGACTACAGCCCTTAGTCACCCTTCAGATGAGTCTGGAAATGAATTCACCTCATGGTTCAATTTTGAGCCAAACAAGTGTATAAATGTAAAAACTCTAGTGAGGTACACACACCTTACAATAATCACCATATGAGATCAAAAGGGCAACATTTACCCAAAGACAAAGTTCAGAAGAGTTAGAAAAGAAGGAATGGAAACAAAGAAACACAGGGATAAGTTGTTAGGTGTCCTTAAGTCAGTTCCAACTCACAGTGACCCTGTATAGGAGTTCTGAAGAGCAGCTGCTGGTTTTGAAATGCTGACCTCCCAGTCAAGCAGTTCAGTGCTTGTCCTACACTGACACACCAGGACGCAGATGCTACAATGGTTGTTGGTGGTTATGTGCCATGGAGTCGGTTCTGACTCATAGTGATCCTGTACAGGGTTTCTGAGGCTGTAAATCTTTATGGAAGCAGAAAGCCTCATCTTTCTCCCGTGGAACAGCTGGTAGTTTTGAACAGCTGACCTTGTAGTTCGCAGCCCGATTCGTAACCACTACACTACCAGTACTCCTTAGATGCTAGGTCACTGCAATCAATGAGAAGAAACCAAATATGTATGAATATATGAATGTTAAACAATCTGTTCTACAGACTTGCCACAAATTCACGATAGAAAGTAAAAATAAAAGATTAGACTTCAAACAATAACCAGGAAACAATTACCTAGAAAAGCTGAAGGTGCAACAATTTTACATTCACCTTTTGAAGACAAGTCTCAAAACAGCTTACTGGACAGAATGACCTACTAACAAAGAATACATATTTGGCAGATGGGAAAGAGTTAAAGTAAAAAAGAGTTCTCTGCATTTTCTCTGTTATGTCCAGATGTCAGCTCAAACCAAACCTTCATTAGAAGGCTGTCGTTTCCTTTGTAACAGCTGAACTTAAATTCAATTTAATAGTTTTATTATGCATACTGAAATGGTACCTGAGCTATAATTCTGGCCTACTTATGGATCTATTCCAGGAAATAAGTGAAAAATTATGATCATTTAAAGTAATCATCTCTATATATTTGAAATCCCATCATATAAATAAGCATGTACCAAAAACATGGTATGTAAAAACTTTCCTGAAAAACCCAATTTACCTATACAATTTTCTTCTACATCTAGATTTAGAAGAACATGCAGAACTATATATTTTTGGGTCAAGCTGGCTTAAGAAGTTTTGTTTTGAGCATTTCACATTTTTTCTATGTGACTTATGACATACTTCTGAGTCTTTCTGGGTTTTGGTTACCCTGTCTCCCACACAGAGGGGTTGTGAAGATTCAATGAAATGCAAAGTACAGGGAAAAACTATTTTACAAATGCCAGCACACCATCATTAATAAATTCAGGAGGATGGTTTAGTAATGAACTTTCCCCCCATAACTTTATTGAAACTACATAAAAGAATTTTACTTATTTTCAAATCTGAGATGAGATAGTGTAAAAAGTTCTAGAAATCTCTGAGGACTATAATTATATGCAAGAGACCAATTAATTAACCTTGATCAGGATCTGCATTATGATCATTGGCTGTCTACAAAATGAGTAATTTGGGAAGGGTTGGGAGTCAGACTTTACATAATAGAATATAAAGGACATATAAAGCTACATCACCCTCTTAATCACTCTGAGGACCTCAAGAAAATCCTTTGTCTTTGCATACTTAAATTATTTTAAGAGAGCAAGTGAAAGGGATTTTGTCAACATTAGGATCCCCTCATGGACGTAGAATAGACAGGTAAACAAAATATACATACATTTTAAAGTCCTACTACAGGCCCAAGGAGCTCTGGCAGTATAGTGGTTATGAGTTGGGCTGCTAACCTCAAGATCAACAGTGCGAAACTACCAGCTGTTCCACGGGAGAACGACGAGACTTTCTGTTCCCATAAAGATTTACAGCCTCAGAAACCCTATGGCTCCACAGCACAGAACCCACACAAAACCAGCACAGGCCCTAAATCAAAACAGCAACAAAATTCTTTTCTAAATGTGTTCACAGTAATACTACTACTCACTGAAAGCCAAAAGTTGTATTGCCAGGGGAACAGCTATAATAGAGGGGAGCTATTTTGTCTCTGGAACGAATTTTCTTCCATTCGATTCCATTCCTTCTTCCTGTACCTAAGAGAAAAACGCAAGTGCAGTGAATAAGCTAAATCAAAGCAGTGTACAGGTAAGGTATTTTTCTGGAAAACACGGCAAACTACAGAGCAATTATGGAGGCGGGGGACAACAATTACAGGCCTTCTGTACTTTCGGCAGTCTCATAAAAGGGAAAGACACTGAAGATCAAATGGTTTATTGAACTTGAACAGGAGACATGCATTAACCTCCTTCCTCTAATATAGATCAAAACTTGCTCTCAGGCCAGGATGTACTATTTAAAGGCAATCTATTGGTTTCAGAATACAAATGTATTCCCAAGTCTTCTGCAAAGAAGATGCTTATGAATTACTGGACAGTATTCCAGGGCCAGTGTCCTGAGGACAGGTCACCTTTATACAGCAGGTGGAAAGAAATGCTGGTAGAATCATCCATTCTCACTCTGTCTTTGGTTAATCTTTTCACAATCTTCAATGCTCTCCAAAGGTCCCCTCCACAATCCAGTAAAGCACTAAAAAACTAAGCTAGGTATTTCCAAAGGAGCTCTGGTAGTGTAGTGTTACGAATCGGGCTGTGAACCACAAGGTCAGCAGTTCGAAACTGCCAGCTGCTCCGGGGGAGAAAGATGAAGCTTTCTGCTCCCGTAAAGATTTACAGCCTCGGAAACCCCGTTCAGGGTCGCTATGGGTCAGAACCCACTCGATGGCACTTAACAACATTCCCAAAGAAGTAAACAGGAGACTCCAGGCTCCACCCACTCACTCACTCCAAGTAGAGGGCAGTGAAAGAGAATAGGCCCAGAGGGAAAAGGATGAGGGAACGTGTCAAAGAAAGGAGTTCATATCAGGACAAGGAATGAAGGGCAGAACCCACAGACTGAGAAGAGAGATATAAACCCCCCAAAAGAGTAACGGGGATGGATGATGGAATGAGGGGTATAGGTGAAAAGGGAAGGAGAATCTGAGGGTGGGGTTGGAAAAAAAAAGAGGAAGAAAAAGAGAAAGCGTGCGTGTGGAGAGTATTAAGAAAGAAAAGGAGGAAAGGAGAGGCCGGAGAGGGGCAAAGGAGACAGACGGAAAACGTGAACGGTAAGAAAACAGTGTAAGGAATAGAGCCGGTGGCCTAGGAGAAGCCGAAGAGATAACAAGAGTGACGGGTAGAGGGGCCGAGCCGCGGGGGTGGAATCCAAACGCGGGGCGGGGGAGGGAATCGGGACGATGGGATGGTCAGCGGGGGACCGCCAGGCGGCGCAAGACCACCAAACTTTACAGACCCGAGACTGTTTCCAGAAGGGAGTATAGAAAAGCAGCTGGAGCTCTGCCTCGCAACCAGGGGCTGGGCATCCGTCCGACCGCCACCCCAACCCAACAAGCCCTCACGAACCCCCTGCCATCCACTGGGACATGCGGCCGGCAGGGCCCGCTGCTCGCCGACGCTCGGGACCCTCGCCCATGACCCCGACTATCCACTTCCTGGGACAGCCGACCTCGGTTTCCGAGAATCACTCTCAGGACTCCTTCCCAGTACCTCCACTCACCCCGGCCTGGGGGAGGAGGGAGAAAAGCACGGCGTGGCCCGACTTTCCCACCTTTTCTTCTGGCCCAGTCGCAGCCGGGGCGGACGGGACCTCTCGCGCTCTCTCTCTTCCTCCTGCTTCATGGAGCCATGCGCCTGAATGTGGGCTTTCGAGAGAAGCAGGCCCGCAGGTGGGCCGGGTGCGCGACTCGGACAGGGCGGGACGAAGAAGGCCAGGAGAGCAGAACGGGAATCGGCAGCGACGGTGGCGGCCAGGAAGAACGACTAGAGGTATTCCCCGGGCGGCTGGAGGACCTAGTCCTCCGCTATCCCAGCCGGCACCAGAGGTGGTGAGGTAATGGAGGAAGAATGTAGGGAGTCCTCCAGTGTACCACACGCCCTCTAGCGAGTCGTGAAGACCATAGAGTTTAGGGAGCCGTCAGAGCACCGCCCTATTACTATCACGTGATCACAGTCCGCTCACATTATTGGCTGGCACCGACTTTATGGTGTTGAATTTAGGAGACGGCTTTCTTTTCGCGGGCCAAGTTCCAGGCAGTTGGGATAGAGTGGTGCTTAGGCAGAACTTACCCTAAGGGGAGGATCGAAAATAACCCAGCCGGGAGCCCTGTCAGCCGATTACCGCGCCCACTGTCAGGCGAATCGTCGCGGTGCACGACGGGCGCGCTGATCTGGGCAAGCGCGGGGCGCGCTGGGAGTCGTAGGGCGGGTCCCGGCAGTGGCATGCTCCGCGCGCGAACGGGGAAGCTCAGAATGCCGTTCAGTACCCCTTCTAGGCCCGTATCTGACACCGATCTGCCAACGGCTTTTTTCCCAGAGTACCCGCGCTCTCGTCTCCTTCCCTGACCGGGCCTCAGCCTTAGAAAGCAGCAGAGCCTGGATAACTCAGGCCAGCTTTCCATCCAGCTTGCGTTTGGATTAGGGTGGATGTGTTTTGGGTTCTGTGCTCGTTTCCACTTTGGCCTACCTAGGCTTTTGACAGATGGGGGAGGGGCAAACGGCAATTAGTTTGTTATGTTGAGTAGAAGCAGCGCCCACTACCAGGCTAGAGTTATTTAGGATCCAACAATTAAACGCGTTCCTCAGAATTTAGCCGGGCAAGGGTCTAAAAAGAACAATTTTTCTTAATTGTTGTGATGTGCAGTCAAGTCTGTTCCGACCTATAGCGACCCTTTATAGGGTTTCCTAGGAGCAGCTGATGAGCTTGAACCACCGGCCTTGTAGTTCAAACGGCTTTTCAGTCCGGCGCATTAACCCACAGCGCCACACCAGGACTCAGTAAATTAATTTAATTGAAAATATTTGTAATTCCGGCATGATTTGCTTAATCGTTTAGCATTTAAAAAATTACAGATGGGGTAAGCTAACAATGTTAATACTGACCTTTTTTTTTTTTTTTTAAAGGTTTTTATTGTTTATTGAGTGAAAGTTTACAGGGTATATCGTCAGTTTAACATTCAACAAATCATACACCTTGTTTCATTACAATAATTAGAATCCCCTCCATTTACCCTCAGTTAACAGTATTTCTCTCTGTTCCAGCTTTTTTAAAAAAACAAACAAAAAAACCACTCAGGCATATATAATAATTTACATCTCCAAAGGGCACATTATGCAAGTCTGCTTCCTGGCCACCAGCTTTTAGTCCCTCTCCTCTTAGTCCATGAATCTAGAGTCCTTAGCCACTCCCCCTCTCCATGCCCCCATCTCTGGCACGCTGTTTCTCTGGATAAGGTCCTGCATTCTGCTTGTGCGCTTCTCTCTTGATCGTCCTAGGGTCCTCTGTTTCTGGACTGTAAGATTAACCACTCCCCTTTCTACCTTTATAATTGTGATAGTCACAATTAGTCATGATAACAATTCTACACTATTGAATCTTATGAATCTTATCCCTATCTCTTTTCACCAGACTCATCTAGACAAGATGACAGCTATTCAGTGGGGACTCTTTCTTTCCCCCCATACTCTTAAACTAAACTCCCTCTTGAAACCTTGTAAGCCAGTCACTTCATGCCTTTATTGCCCCCTCATTTTAGGTAGCCAATGTCTAAGTTGCCCATCCCTAACTACCCTGTATACAGAGGGGATAGCATTGATACTTGAGGTGAAGACTCTTTCCCTCTTTGTTGCTATTTAGAGTAACTACTGCTCTGAGTATAGGTCAGGTTCATCA